CACGTCCCGGTCCCCAGGTGTCGACGTCCTGAGCCGCCCGCGCCGCGCCCCGCGGAGCGGAGCGACACGCCATCTGCCTGCAGGGCACAGCGTGCCGCCGCGACACGCTAAAAGCACACGTTCCCAAACCGCAGATGTCTTTTGGGGCACGCCCGGCGGCCGCGGAGGGCTTCATTGCTTCGGCCGCCCTGGCAGCATAAGCTTGTTGACGACGACTAATGGAGAGGAAGCATGTTGACACATATTTTCCAGAGGTTCACACATGTCTTACGCATGTCTTAAACATGAGAGAACATTTGTCAAGCATGTTAAACACATTTTTAATGTGACCGTTTTTTCATTGTTTTGCCGATCGGCGCGGGCCCGTCGCACCCCCCCTCCCCCCCCCTGGAGTAGATCTTGGCTGTTTTTGGCGCCTGTCTGAGCAGGTGGAGTCTCCCCCACAGGATGCGCTGTCTCAAACAGTAGCACTAAGCAGAGGTCCAGAGCCAGACCCCCTCCCTCCCCCCCCCCTTCCGCCCGACGTCGAAACGCCGAATGAGAAAACGCTCACCTTTCGAGCATTTCAAACACATGCGTATTTACTTCAACGATCGGATGGTTGGCGTGCCCGTTGCCATGGTATCCGCAAGCAGCTAGAAAGCTGTGCCTCGCGGCCGGCGCGGCCCCGGCAGCAGGGAGGGCGCCACACGGCGGCGGAGACCGCGCTTGCTCCGGCGATCGCAGACCTGGATCTATAAGTCGGGCCTGTCCCCCTACAGGGGGGATTTTCGACGACAAACAAAAAGTACCCCAAACATAATCCCCCAAAAATGCAAAAATGGCCTGGGGATTTGTTTAAAGTATCTTTTGGCCTTTTTGGAGTTTTTTGGGGTATTTTTTATCTTTCGTCGAAAATCCCCCTGTAGGGGGACACGCCCGACATAAACCTGGATCCACGGGGGCGTGGATTAGCGACGGGTTCCGTTTCCATGGGAAATCGCGGATTTCCGCCGCCGAACGGGGCGGCTTTGGCCGCATTTTAGAGAGGCGCGCCGAATCCATGGATCGCTAATCCATGTTTGCGCGCCCCCGGTTCGCTCAGGCCCAGGCGGCGGGGAGAAAACCGTGGCGGCCGGCTTCTGGACGGCTTCGTCCCCAGACCCCCTCGAGTGATGAAAAAATCGCGGGAGGTTCTTCGCAATATTCGGCCCCTGGGGGCCCTTGCCGGGCTTCGGGACCGTTAAAAAACGACTCAGGATGAAAAACCGGTCCCGGGGAATGGGTCGAAGCCTCTGGGGGTCGACGTCATGAAACAATCATGACCTCGGAGGTCTGGATCCTTTGGAGGCCGTTTCCCGGCCCGTGGACCGTCAGCAGCGGGCTTCCCAAGTGCACGACATGGTGCAGTTCGTCCGAGATGTCCCTTGTCTTGCCCTCCTCTCCTCTTCCTCCTCTGCCTCTTCCGTCGCCAAGTTGGCTCAAGCTGTATTGCGCTCTCAAGGCGCGCTTTGCGGCCAGTGGTGCGAACGGGGCGAAACCCGCCCACTACCAGGAGGCCTTCGCGATGGCTCCCGAGAAGCGCATCGACCCCGAGACCAAGAAGGCCGTGACGCTCAAGGAGCTCGCCAAGGCGTACTCCGGTAAGTACACGAAGGAGGAGATCAACACGTACTGGAAGGACGAGTGCAAGGTTGCCAAGGATGAGCCGGCCCCAAAGGCCAAGGCCAAGGCCAAGGCCAAGGCTGGGCCGGAGGCCGAGCCGAAGGGCAAGGCCGAGCCGAAGGCCAAGGCCGAGCCCAAGCCTCCCGGCAAGGGTGGCGACGTGATGACCAAGCTGGCGTCTCTCATCTTCGACGACGCCACGATGAAGAAGTACGTGCCGCCGAAGGTCTTCAAGCAGTTCCAGGAGGACCTCGTGACTGGGAACCCCACCTCCGAGGACGACCAGAAGGCGATCGCGAAGGGCATGTTCAAGTGGGCGCGGGAGCACGGCTGCACCGACTTCGCCCACTGGTTCTTCCCCTGCCGCGGGGGCAGCGGCGCCGTGGGCGGCGCGGTCGGCGCCCTGAAGATGGACACCCTGATCGACATGGACTTCGGGTCGAAGAGCGCGAACAAGCCCTTCTTCCCCGTGCTCCCCACCGAGCGCCTGTTCCAGGGCGAGACGGACGGCTCCTCCTTCCCCAACGGCGGCCTGCGCGTCACGCACTCCGCCGCCGCCTTCACGGTGTGGGACCGGACGTCGCCGCCCTTCATCTCGGGCACCACGCTCCGCATCCCGTGCTCCTTCCTGACGCACTTCGGGAGGAGCATTCGGTCGGGCAGGTCCCTCTACACGAGGCATATTCAGAAATAGTCAAAACATAGTATGGGGATTATGTTTTGAGTATTGTTTGACCGTGTCTGAGTATTTTTGATAGTTTGTCCCAACCATCCTGTAGTGTTGGGTCCTAGTTTTGAAGAGACGCTCCCCGCGTTCCTCTCTTCTCCTCCTTCTCCCCCTCCTTCCCCATCCCGTCGTCATCATCATCATCAGCAGCTTCATCATTATCATCATCACCATCGTCATCGTCATCATCATCACCATCGTCATCGTCATCGTCATCGTTATCGTCATTATCATCATCCTCATCACCATCATCATCATCATCATCATCATCATCATCATCATCATCATCATCATCATCATCATCATCATCATCATCATCGTCCTCATCATCGCCATCAGTTTCGGCACACACCTCACACGCTTCGTGGCCCCATAGGGAGCTCCATCTAAGGTCCCATTGGCTCAGTTCGCATGGCGGCGCCGCCCCATTTTGGCAGACCCCTCACACGCTTCGTGGCCCCATAGGGAGCTCCAACTAAGGTCCCAGTGGCGCAGTCCGCATGGCGGCGCCGCCCCATTTTGGCACGCACCTCACACGTTTCGTGGCCCCATAGGGAGCTCCACCTAAGGTCCCAGTGGCGCAGTCCGCATAGCGGCGCCGCCCCATTCTGGCACGCACCTCACACGTTTCGTGGCCCCATAAGGGGTTTTACCGAAGGCCCCAGTGGCAGCGCCCGCATGGCGGCGCCGCCCCGTTTCGGCACACCCTTCACGCGCTTCCTGGCCCCAGAAGGAGATCGACCGAAGGCGATGCCAACAACGACGGTATCCACAGCTGCACATGGTGGGGCCCTTCGCCAGGCTAGTTTCTGTTTCCTCCAGAGTCTGCCTGCAGGGAGACATGCCCGACCTCAGAGGAGCATCGACGAGAAGACGCCCCTCCTGCGCTCGATGGACGCCGTGAGCGCCCAGGGGCTGCGCCTGCTCAGGGCCCTGGGGCTGGCCTCGGACGCCAAGTGCCTGCGCTCCTACCTGGGCTGGGAGCAGGAGTTCTTCGTCGTCTCCGCCTCGCTGTACAAGAAGAGGCCGTCGGAGAAGAACAAAACACACACACAAACATACACGTTTGGCGCTCCGCGCGGACTTCTCTTGGATCCGCGCCTGGGCCCACCGGCGGCGCCTCCGGCGCCGCCCCTGACGCGCTCCGCGCGCCAGGGAGGGGAGTCCAGCGCGAATCCAAGAAATCCGCGCGTAGCGCCAAAAGTTTATGTTTATGTGGTCTTTCCCACATCTTGAGTGGGGTTCTCGTTTTCCTAGAACACACTCTCCTCCTTCTCCTTCTCCCGCCTCCCTAACATACCATACCATACGTACCATACCGCACCATACCATACCTGCCATACCACACCTACCAACACCATACCAACTCCATACCTATCATTCCATACCTACCACATGCCATACCTACCATACCATACCAAAATCATACCTAACATACCATGCAAATTATACCACACCATCTACAATACCATACCACTTTTTTACCATCCTCGGAGCGCCCTGTGGCAGGGGGGGAGGAGAAGGAGGGGGAGGGGGAGGGAGGGGGGGGAGGGGGAACGTGCAACCAATTCGTCCGGCGCCCCTGGGCGCGACGCGAGCCGCAGCCGCAGCGCCTCGCGCCACGCGGCTTCCGCGCCGCCCGCCTGGGCCGGCGGCGCCAGCAGCAGGGCGGCGGCGCGCGGCGGCAGCGCCGGGGTCCAGCCGCTGCAAGGTCTGCTCGCCAGCCTGTGCCCGGCCGGCGCCAAACAGCCGCAACGCAGGCAGGCCACCCAGGCGGGCGCCTGGGACGCCACGTGGGCCCGCCACGCGTTGCCGGCGAGGAGGGCCCTGGCGGCGGCTGCCCCTGCCGCCGCCGCAGGGCGCCGGGCGGGCTGCGGAGCCCGCGCGCGAAAGCCGCGGCGGCCGCCACTGCCGCGTCGTCGCCCACGCGGGGCGCGCGCCGCCGGCGCCCTGGGGCCGTCCGGCGCCTGCGCACGCGGGGCCGGCTGGCGCCGTCGCCGTGGTTGGCCTTCAGCGCTGCCAGCTCCACGGCTGCCATGACCCGCTGCACGGCAGCGAGCGCGTCCAGCCCCCTCTCGCGCTCCAGGAGCAGCGCGCGAGCCGGCAAGCGGGCCCCTGTCGCGTGGCTGGCCAGGCGGTCCAGGGCCGCGTTGCCGGTATGGTCCTCCGGGCCGCGGCAACGTCCAAGTGCGCTTTCACCCATCGCTCGCGCAGGGCGCCGCTGCGGCAGTGTGGGGCAACGCGATCCCACAGATCCGCGCGCGCCCACTCCGCAGGGTTAGCCCCGCCGCGGATGGCCGCCACGCCGCGGCTGATGAACCGGGAGCCAGTGACGACGTCAACTGGCCCCCCGGCCGGCTCAGCGCGCGCACGCGGTGAGTTCCACCCGCTGGGCGGTCTGCCCGCCGTCCACCGGCCCGCTGTGCTCGACGAAGCCCGTCGCGCCCGCCGCCTCCAGCCGGACTCCCCAGCCCGCTCTCTCTCTCGCAAGCAGCGGGTCGCCCGGGCGCACGCAGGCCCCGTCCGTCCAGGCGAGCGCCCTGCCGCCAGCCGGCAGTCTCTGCGGGTCGGGCAGGATTGGCCGGGCCTGCTCCGCGAGCGCCGCCAGCCGCAAGTCCTGAGGCAGCACTCCCGTGAGGGAGGCCTCAGGCAGCAGCTTCGTGCGGACCTCGTCGCGGCGCCCGCTCGCGAGCCCCAGGGCGGCGGCCCGGGTGGGCTCCCAGCACGGGCACCGCCACAGGCGGTGCGCCAGCTCCTCCATGGAGCGCCGCGCGGCAGCGGGGGCACAGCGCCCAGCCGGCAACGCACGTCAAAGCCGACCGGCAGCTCGCCCAGCCTGCCGAAACGGCCCCGCGCGACGCGCAGCCGCTCCGCGGCGACAGCGCGCCGACGGGCCTTCCCAGCGGTGGCGGCCACGCCCGAGTCGCGGAATTCCGTGCTCGCGGAGATCCCGGGCGTCTGGTCCGCCAGCCAACGCTGGAACACCGCGCGAGTAGCAAACTGGCGCGACTTCGTCTGGTTCAGCCTCCAATCCATGGCCGCCTCGAAGGCCTCCGTGACCTGCAGCGCCTGCCGGAGCTCGTCTGCTGCGTCGCCGCCGGCCTCGGCCGTGACCCGGGCCCTGAGCGTGAAGTCGTCGACGTACACCCTTCGGCGGAGGCGGTCGCTGACGCGGCCCGTGCGCACCATCCAAGGCTGCGTCAGGACTCCGAGCGCGAACACCGCCAAGGGGCAGCCCGGCAGAAGGCCGCGCTTGGGCGACCACGGCGAGCCGATGGCCCTGCCGACTCGCACTCGCCGAGTAAGCCGCCAGCGCTGGCCCAGCGACCCATGGCGGGACCCCTGCCCGAGCGAGCGCGGCAGGCACCGTACTCAGGCACCGTGCCATACCACACCTACAATACCACAGCTACCATGCCATGCCTACCACTCCAGGGAAACCACTCTGGAGCAAAGACAGCGCCGGGACACCATATATAACAAGGCTTCGTACCCCCCAACCCTCCAGGGAGGCCCCGCCTGAGCGAGGGGGGTATTCGAAAGCATTGCTATGTATCAGGTTTCGTGCCCCTCCCACTCCTCCAGGGAGGCCCCGCCTGAGCGAGGAGGGTAATCGAAAACCATGCTATGTATCAGGTGTCGTGTCCCTCCCGCTCCTCCAGGGAGGCCCCGCCTGAGCGAGGAGGGCATTCGAAAATCATGATTCGTATCAGGTGTCGTGTCCCTTCCACTCCTCCAGGGAGGCCCCGCCTGAGCGAGGAGGGTCTTCGACAACAGTGTTATTTATCAGGTTTTGTGCCCCTCCCACTCTTCCAGGGAGGCCCCGCCTGAGCGCGGAGGGTATTCGAAAATTACGTTGTTCATCAGGTTTCGTGCCCTCCCACTCCTCCAGGGAGGCCCCGCCTGAGCGAGGAGGGTATTCGAAAATCCTGTCAGTTATCAGGTGTCGTGCCCCTCCGACTCCTCCAGGGAGGCCCCGCTTGAGCGAGGAGGGTATTCGAAAACCATGCTATGTATCAGGTTTCGTGCCCCTCCCACTCTTCCAGGGAGGCCCCGCCTGAGCGAGGAGGGTCTTGGAACGATATCTTCTTCATCAGATTTTGTGCCCCTTCCTCCCACTCCTCAGGCCCCGCCTGAGCGAGGAGGGTATTCGAACACATGTTATGTATCAGGTTTCGTGCCCCTGCCACTCCTCCAGGGAGGCCCCGCCTTAGCGAGGAGGGTATTCGATTCTGCTAACAGAGTTCTCCGCGCAAGGATGTTGAGGCAATATACTAGCAAATAACATGGACGGACCATCGCAAAGTACATGCGAAAGGAAAGACACGGCCGACGAAGGCAAGGCGGGGGAGCAGCAGGGAGGAAGACGACGGCTGTTCAGGAGGCACGTTCGTTGTTGGAGCAGTGGGAGGAGTGGGACGGGGCGCGACATCTGATAAACAGCATGGTTTTCGAATACCCTCCTCGCTCAGGCGGGGCCTCCCTGGAGGAGCGGGAGAGGCACGACAGTTGATACATAACACTGTTTTCGAAGACCCTCATCGCTCAGGCGGGGCCTCCCTGGAGGAGCGGGAGGGACACGACACCTGATACGAATCATGATTTTCGAATGCCCTCCTCGCTCAGGCGGGGCCTCCCTGGAGGAGCGGGAGGGACACGACACCTGATACATTGCATGGTGTTCGAATGCCCTCGCTCAGACGGGGCCTCCCTGGAGGAGTGGGAGGGGCACGAAACCTTATACACAACATGGTTTTCGAATACCCTCCTCGCTCTGTCGGGGCCTCCCTGGAGGGGTGGAAGGGGAACAACACCTGATACATAGCAATGCTTTCGAATACCCTCCTCGCTCAGGCGGGGCCTCCCTGGAGTAGTGGGAGGGGCACGAAGCCTGATGAATTGTATGGCTTTCGAATACCCAGGGTGGGAGGGGCACGAAGACGGGTGAATAGTATGGTATCCCGATGCTGTACTCGCTCTGACGGGGCCTTCCTGGAGTGGTAGGAATGGTATGGTAGCCTTGGTATGGTAGGTGTGGTATTGTATGGTAGCTATGGCATGGTATGGTATGGTAGGTTCGGTATGGTAGGCATGGTATGTATGGTTTGGTATGGGAAAACGCGCCACTG